GAGAGGGTTTGGGGGGTAGGAACCGTCGTTTTTAGAAACGGAGCACCCTAGGTATTCTAAACGAACTGGTGTAAGCAAATGACACCAGTAGCACTAGTGTCATTTTAGACTTACCGATTATATAATTTGTAAAACTTTATTTTGATTAAAGGAGGCTGGGGAGATCAGGACTTTATCTTCGATCGGCTGACTTCTTCTCAGACGAAGGACAGGGGACTGAGAAAGGTTTCTCTGGAATCCGCTTCAATTGACGACGGACACCGGGATCGGAGGCTGAGAACGACGAACAATGGACGATTGGAGATCGGGAGGCTTGCGACGACGGACGGTTGGAGAGGGAAGGCTGAGGACGACGAACCCTAGTCGCGGCTGAGCTCTCGATCGACGGACGAGAGGAATTGGACGCGGTTTCAAGTGTTGGTTTGAATCGAATAGTAAGGTCCGAATCCAACCTTCGTCGGACGGAAATTGACGGTGGCCAGGGAGACTTCACCCCTTTCTACTAGGTATTTTTCAGATTTTCCAATTATTCTTTGAATTTCTATGTGTGAATTTGTAGAGGTTATTCCATTCTAGAGGAAATTAAAATTAGCGTAATGGAGCAGAAAGGGGTTTGAATCTTGACCTAAGTGCTCTCCTTTTTCTCAAAGTATCATTCATGTGTAGAAGCCATCCTTTGTTTTTGTGTTCGTGTGTTTGTCTAGGTAAGACATGATTAATGATTTACTATGTTGATGTTTATTTAAACAAATTATACACAGTAATTAGTATATCATTTTTTAAAACTTTAATGGTGCCAGGTTAGTTCAATTGCTGCTGGTGGGCAGTATGATGATCTCATAAGAAAGTTTTGCAAGAAGCAGGTTCTTGCAGTTGGTATTAGCCTGGGAATTGAGAGGGTATTCGCAATAATGGAGAAACTCACTAAAGTGTATTACTTCAACTCAACATTGGTTCCTGCAGTTGGTATTATACATTGATAGTAATATGTTGTTATGAAAATAAAGTGTATTACTTCAACTCGGCATTGGGGACGGGGACTTCCAAGAATCTTACACTGAAGACCTACGCAAACGAGTAAGTCTATATTATCTTTATTCTATGCAAATTCTATTCACATTGTAAAGTGGCCAGCCTCCACCTCTGTTGTCATCGTTGCACCCACTTCAATCATCCTAGCGGTGCGTGGATCCCCAACCGTCAATCAATCGAGTATGGTTTTCGATAGAATAGACGCTAACCTGCCGGCAACAACCCAAGCAGCGGTGCTCCCAAGGTTTGGCAATTTTTGGACATAATTTTGATTTCATCTAGTTCAGAGTCAATAAAATTACATCTTGATATTTTAGATTTGCGAATATCTCTTCACAGCACTGATTTAGGTTTTAATTCTAAAGACTTTTTTAGGCTTTCGAATACTAAATGAGCGGCGAATTCATAGAACAAAGCCCAAGCTTTCTGGTACAAACTATGCCGATCAAATGGTTTTGTTTTCTGCTCTATTTGGCTCTGTATATGGGATTTTCTTTTTTAACAGGGTTTTGCACTGTTAGCCAAATGTTGGCACAACAGTTAACACCCAAATACTAAGTGAGGTTTCACACTGTGTTGAAAGCATCAATGGAGCCAAAGATAGAAGATGGAAAACTTCTTTGAGCTTCTACAAGCCTATACTCAGAGGTTCACATATTTCCATTCCACCATTTCATCACAAAATTGACCCTTCTTTTACTTCTTTTTAATAGTGTTGTATGTTACTTTATGTGATGATTGTTTGTATGTGTTTATTGAGGGATAATTGTTTCTAATTTTAGCATGATAGTGTTTGGGTGAATTCTTTGTTTGATAGAGAGCTATTAGAAATACCACCTTTTTATTAATATTTAAAAAAAAATAGTATAGCAAAGGCATCGGTTGGTTAGAAAAAACCGATGCTAATACTCTTTTTTTTAAATTAATAAAACAGCAAAGGCATCGGTTGTTTAGAAACAACCGGTGCTAATACTCTTTTTTTAAATTAATAAAATAGCAAAGGCATCGGTTGTTTAGAAACAACCGATGCTAATACTTTTTTTTAAATTAATAAAATAGCAAAGGCATCGGTTGTTTAGAAACAACCGATGCTAATATTTTTTTTTTAAATTAATAAAATAGAAAAGGCATCGGTTGTTTAGAAACAACCGATGCTAATACGCTTTTATTTAAATTAATAAAATAGCAAAGGCATCAGTTGTTTCGAAACAACCGATGTCAATACTCTTTTTTTAATTAATAAAATAGCAAATGCATCGGTTGTTTCTAAAGCGATGCAATTGAATTGAACCAATTGCATCGCTTGTATTTACATCGGTACAAAACCGATGCTAAAGGTATAAAACAACCGGTGCCTTTGCCCTTTTATGTACTAGTGTAGTTGACGAAGAAGAAGAAGAAACGTATGTTTCTCACTTCAATTTGGTCTTTTGCTACACTTTTCTCTACAAATAAGATATCTGATAACTTGGGTTAGGAAAAATAAAATAAAAATAATAGAATGTAAAAAATGATTAAAAAGCTACTATTTATGAAAGAAAATAAAAAGAATGTAAAAATGAAAATTATAATAAAACTAAGCTAAACAACTAAAAATTAAACTCTAAAAATATTTAAAATGCCTAAAAAAGAATATAAAAAACTAACCCAAAAACGACTTATCAAATACCCGCACACTTAAGACTTGAACGTCCTCGTTCAAAAGACCAAAAAGAAACCAAATTTTTTATCATCATCAAGAAAAACAAAGTGCACCTTACACACTCACTCTTAAGACTTTATGCCCATAGCATTTTTGAAAACAAAGTGAGCTATAAATCCTATATGGATGGAGATCTTAAATACGGATTATCAGGTTCTAAAAAAATGCTCTAAAGTTGCCACAAAAAAGTTTCCTAAGGGAATCCTATAGTTCAAAAAGGCTCAATGGCAACGGTAGCAAGGTTTAACAAATAAGCCTAAAAGATTTAAAAAAAACATACAATTTCTAAAAAATAAAAGATTCCTAAAACCGGTTCTTTTTCAAATTTAAATATCAAACAAGGTTGACTAAAATAGCATCTAGATAATATGTGGATGACCAGTTCTAGAAAATAAAATTCTAAAGAATGCCTAGAAGGATTCAAACTTTAAAGGTCATTTTACCAAGAAAATGGGCATAAGACTCGAGACGAGTTTGTAAAGAAACATTTGTTATCTTTCAGAATAAAGCACGAAGAAAGAAAAAATTGAAGTTTTTGGGTCAATTTTGAAAACAATGCTCTAAATAAGATGATATGCAACTAAGAATAACAAAATATTTGGACCGAAAACTTATTTTGAAAAAAAAAATTGCCCAAAAATATACTCTCCCAAATAACGGAATACACATGAGAACCTCCCACCACACTTAAATTATACATAGTCCTCAATGCATCATATGTTATGCAAATTAGCAACAATGATATAACCAAGAGAATGAGCCAAGAGAGAAAGGATGGGGAATCATGTTTAAAAAAGTATACACAGCATCAATTCATCATTCCCCGTTCCTTATCATGCTTTTCTTGGGCCTAAAAATCTGCAAAAAGAAGGCTAAGACCAAGTTTTTTTAGCATTGAAGAACAAAAAATCACATTTCAAATATGTAGATTTTTTTCTAATTTAGCACATATAAGCCGTGAAAAGTGTAAAATTTTCATTCTGCACTAAAAAAACAACTTACAAAGTGCATTTTTTCAATTTCAGCTCAAAAATCAGATTGAGAAGTGCAGAGTTCTTCCATTAGTACCCAAAAATCAGCCGGGGCACTTAGAATTCCTGTTTCAAAATAGATTTTGCACCATTTTTGTGCAGATTTTCACTCCAAACACCTATGCTTCCACCTAAAATTCAACAAATCTTGCAAAAAGCTCACAAAGTAGATGGTTAGAAGCACAAGTAAAGAAAACAGTTAAGCTCAACAAATCACTTTTTTTTTGTTTTGATTTTATACTTCAAAAAAAACTAAATGAAAGAGAGAGAAAATCCTAAAATTACAAGTACTATTACATCAATATGGGAAAAAAATAAGAAAAGTAAATTGGTTATTAAAAGAAAGAAAAAGAAAATCTAATTAACGATCACAAGAAAAAAAAGTACAACAACAAGGTAGTTAAAGTTAGAAGTAAGCAAAAGAAATTCAAAGAAAAATTAAAAAATGATTTAAAACGTAAGTGGGTAATGTTAGAAAAAAAATAGAAAAAGGAAAAAAAATACAATCATCGACTATAAGAGAAAAAAAAGTACAACAATTTAAATTTAGGAGTAAAAAAAACTTTTTTTTAAGAAAAATGAAAAAAAACTTAAAAAAGAAAGTGGGTTGCCTCCCATAAGCCGCCCGATTTAAAGTGTTTGGCTAGAAAAGCTTACTACTACTACTTGCAAAAACATATTCAGATAAACCATCAAGTAGTAAAGAGAAATAAAAGTGTGTTTCTTTAAAACATCCAAAGAGATAAAACCAAAACAAGCATCAAGAATTGACTTTAGCTCTAAGAATAGCAGTTTATGTTCAATTAAGAATGGAAAAATCAGATTTAAAGATGAACAAATAGGCTTTAAAGTCTTCTTGAAACAGATTTTCTGCATTTTTTCATTTTGAGAGCAACAAGGAGCATATACCGATCAAGACAAGAATGAAAATTCATGCTAAATACTCCCACATTAGATCCCATGCAAGTTCTCGACAAATAGAGTTCATAATTCAACAAATGAGCATCTAAGGAACTTTTAAAAAAAATCAGATTATCCAACAAAAAGTTGCTGATTTTTTCAAAAGATATGCACTTGAGATTAAGTTTTTATCAAAAATGAGCACAGTAGGCATCAAAATCAGTATAAGACCTTATGATAAATTTCAAAATATTGTCCCTAAGCAAGATAGAGCAAGGATAATTCAAATTTCAAGCATATGGATCACGCTACGGGGCAAAAACAGCAGGTATACTCAACCAAAATAGTGCAGAATTTTGAATGAAGCATGAATAAATCAGGTTTTGGAACTCAAACATCACTTAATGCTTCAAAAAATATATATAAAGGTTGAGAATAGGCTCCATAGATCAGAATATGGGAAGTACATCACTTATGTCATCCCAATGCAACATATATGATTAGTAAACACAAAAATCAGCAAGCAAAGCATCACAAAGAAGTGTCCAAACTGCCAATTTTTGGAAAAACGGTACCGGAATCTCACAAAATAGCACATTGACAATCAAAGTTAAGCACAAATGCAAACAAAGTTGTTGAATTTAATTTGCTCGCGTATGCATATCCTCAATTCTACTAATAGGCATGTAAAATAGATTAAAACTCAAGAAAAGAGGCTACTACGGCATGCTTACTAACAAAAAAACAAAGAACACAATGGCATACTAAAGTGATTTCATACAAAACTTTGTTACAATTTTTGTACGGATTACAACGGACGGGGAAGATGAACGGCCTCGGAAAATAAAAAAAATTCTGAATTTATAACTTATTCAGAATATTACAAGATAAACAGAATTGAAAATAAATTTATATATCTTCAAACAGCCTTGTTGTATGAGGACATTAAGCACTGGACATCAAGGACATTATGCACTAGGGCTGCGAGGTCTTTATGAACTAAACCTGCAAAACAAAACACCGTGAAGGACAGCGGAGTCGCCGGAGCTGTCCTTACGGTAGTAGTGCCCGCCTACCGTACCGGAAAAATGTGGGCACTCTCTTCCCAGGATAAAACTGCTATCGTGTGTGGAGATTGTACGGACCAACCACACACCAACAAACAAGAACAACGTAGGAACGTTGGCGACCAAAAAAAACTTTGAAAGGGATTGCCGGAAAAAATTGGCAAGAAAACCAAGAGCTCTCCTCAAAGTTAAACAAGGACAAAATTGTTAACTTTTTCCTTCTCCTCTTTTACTTCCCATGTATGGATGCTCTCTAAAAAATGAGAAGAGTCCCTCCATTTAAATAGGCATTTTCATGGCTCTTCATTTTGTAACTTATATGCCATGAAGGCACATTCAATAGCCATGACTCACCATCATTAGTAATATTTTTAATGGTGTGTTAATACCACCATTAACATGGGGGTTACACCCATAATGTTTAAAATTCTTCCTATTTAATTGGAGATTAATGGCCAGTTAACTCCGTAAAAGTGGAATAATTTTAAACATTACGTAACGGGTTAACTCTGAGAATCAATTTCTCATTCACCNAAAAAATGAGAAGAGTCCCTCCATTTAAATAGGCATTTTCATGGCTCTTCATTTTGTAACTTATATGCCATGAAGGCACATTCAATAGCCATGACTCACCATCATTAGTAATATTTTTAATGGTGTGTTAATACCACCATTAACATGGGGGTTACACCCATAATGTTTAAAATTCTTCCTATTTAATTGGAGATTAATGGTCAGTTAACTCCGTAAAAGTGGAATAATTTTAAACTTTACGTAACGGGTTAACTCTGAGAATCAATTTCTTATTCACCCTCTACCATTTTGGGGTAATATTTGTCAAAACATTTATCTCATTTAAGAGAAAACACGTCCATTAATTAACGGTTAAAACCGTTAGTGGACCTATTAACAAATATACCCTAGTTGGTCCATTTAATGCCTATTAAAAATGCCAAAAATTCCAACAAACTTTCCCCGGCAACGGCGCCAAAATTTGTTGGGGACTTGTCGTGAGGTCCAAAACAAATTAAAAATTTATAAATAACCTTAGCTAACCCCCGATATATAATCAAATAAAAACTATAGCTAGGGCAAGTAAAGGTCGATCCCACGTAGAAAGTTTGTACTTTTGAAATCAATATAACATGCACACACATTGTCAGGAAAAAAACAAACTAACTACTACACATATGATAAGACTTAAAAAAACTTTTAATTAAATAAATATAAAAACTTATAAATATAACTTATATAAACAAAGAACATATAATATAACTTATAAACATAAAACACATACTTAGAATATACTAAAAAAAGTATAAAAATTTATATTTATAACTTATAAACAAACACTAATACTAAAACTTAAACATAACAAGGGTGGGGGGTTGAAAAGTAATTTTTTTGGTTTTTTATGTTTTTCTTATTTTTTGGTTTTTTTGATAAAATGGGGGAAAACAAGCTCTAAATATAATCATCTACTCCAACAAAAGTAACCCAAAAAACACCGTCAAGAACCCGAAACAAAATTAAAAAGAGAACAAACACAAGTTGAACATTACACATATAATAGGCACGTAGACAATATATTACGTAACTTACGCACTTAAGAATAGAAAAAATCAATCAAAAGCCGAGTCGATTCATTTCCTTAACCACGATATGGAAGATTGTCAACTCTCCACACGGCCCGGAGTCATGTAATTCAAAGGCCCATTTTGAAATATACCTTATAACCCCAACTCACCAATCAAGCATGAAAACATACTTCCACTATAGAAAAAGTTTATAAAAGAGCGAATTTTTTTTCATTCTAACTTTCATGTATAATCTATTCACAAACTGCCAATACCTTATGCATTTTAATAAACCTTTTCTCCTACTGAAGAGCACATTTCACTGATTTCCATGAACTTCTCAAACCAATGACGTTTTTTCTATTCACATAGATGAACACAACATATTTTCAATAAATCGAAAATTGTTTTTGAGTTTAAACAACCTCAAATTAACGAAAATAACAAACAAACATACAAGAAAATAAACAATCACTCAATAACGAATTCTAAGAATAATGAATCAACTTATGGGGCTAAGAAGTCCAAAATTTATAAAATCAACGAACACAATGCACAAAAAAGATTCACGTATGAATTCGGAGTTCATTGAACTACCTTATGGAGCTAAAATAGCTTCAACAAAAACCGAATTCCACATACCAACCTACTTATGAAATCAAATTATACAATTCAACGAGTTCAACAACAACTTACTCAATAATTGAAGAAAAACTAGTTTGAATCAATTCTCATTCATAAGGGATTTAATATAAACATAAAAAAACCCATAAAAGAACACCAACCATATTTTTAGAATTTTTGAAATAAACACAACAAACAAAAAATGTAAAATTGAATAAAAAACAAACTTTTACATAGAATTGGAGAAGAAAAGATAAAAGTGACAAATAAGAGTTACCAATTGTTGAAGAAGATGAATAAATTGAGTAAACTGGAGCTGTGATGGAGGCTGCCCACCGGAGCTGGAGCTGCTGCGCGTCTGCCGGCCGTTCGCCGTGCCGCCTGCCACCATCGCCGGCGACCACCATAGCAACGGCCAAGCCGTTGCTTTATTCTCTGTGTGAATTCCCCCCTTCTCATGTGTGTAATTATTTACTTTGTAGTTTATTTCCTTGTAAGTAGTCCTTTCCATACTTGTAGTAGGACTTGGCACATGTATATATACATTGTGAATATTGAATCAAAATCAATTCAGTCTTTCACAAAATTCTACATGATATCAAAGCCAATTTCCCTAGAATTTCTCAAACCCTAGGCTCGTTCCTTCCTCTTGCACGGTGCCGCCACCGTAGCTTCGCTGGCCGCCTCACGACGGTCGCCCCTTTTCTTCGATCGGCGCATGTCAGTCGTCAGTCCTCCAGCGCCGGCTCTCGTCGGCTGCCACGTCAACCCTGGCTCACGTCGGTCGTATACCACCGCCCCACGTCTGTGACCTTTTCGTCCCCATGACAACCGAAGGAAAAAAGAAGGTCAGACTCATCCACGACCCTACCTCTCCGTACTACATCCACCCATCCGAAAGCGCAGGTAATTCCTTGACGAAAAATCTCCTCAAAGGTGATAATTATGATATTTGGGAGAAAACCATTGTTAATGCTCTCGAAGGGCGTAGTAGAGCAGGTTTTCTCAACCCCTCCGGGTTTCCTAAACCCACTGATGAACAAGAATTGGCGGCATGGAAAGCTAATAATTCAATTATTTGTTCTTGGATCTGTAACAGTGTTGATGAACACATCAAACCTTCCATTATTTCCCATAAAATTGCTCATGAATTATGGTTAGATCTGAAGACCAGATATGGAGGTTCGAATGGACCTCGTATTCATCAATTGAAATCTTAGTTTCAATCTTTGCGCCAAAAGGGACAAACTGTGGTTGTTTATTATAACCAATTTGTGACTCTTTGGAACAAGCTGTACGGATCAGTTGATCCAACGTGTGGTTGCCGGTGTGAGGCCGCGGCTTTGATTCGGGCGCGCGAGGAACAGGAGAAAACTCATCATTTTTTGCTCGGTCTCGACGACAAACAGTTCGGTCACATCCGTTCTCAGATTATTGCCACTGAACCTGTTCCAGACATACACCGGGCTTCTGCTCTCATCGTTCAAGAGGAACGCCACAAGAGCATTGTCCATGGCCGAGACGACCGTACGGATGCTCTCGCCTTTGCCATGAAACGTCCCGCTCCTACCCTGGGTCGTGGAGACCCCCCCATTACTCGTGCACACATTGTGGAAAAGATGGTCATTCCGTGGATTAGTGCTATCAATTGCATGGATATCCGCCCGGGAAGGGCCGTGGGGGTCGCGACATTGCATCCGGCCGTGGTGGCCGAACACCGTCCGGCGGCAGTAACGCCCCTGGCCGTGGGTCTGGCCGAGGGGTAGGATCGGCGACAGGGGGAGCAAATGCAGCCACCAACTCCAACGCCCTGGGCCTCACACCTGATCAGATGACCCGTTTACTTTCCATGCTCGACGTTTCGTCTTCCCACAAGGATACTGGGTCTAATGGGGATGCATCATCTCGTGAGTGGCTTATTGACAGTGGTGCCTCTCATCACATGACTGGTAATATCTCCCTTTTAACTGAAGTGGTTCCCATGGCCCCTTGTGTCATCACGTTGCCCAATGGCACACAGACTACAGCCACCCGTTGTGGCCGTGTGCGGCTCTCGCCCGAAGTAGTGCTTCGGGGTGTTTTGCTTGTTCCTCATTTACAGTGCAATCTTATTTCTGTTGGTTGTCTTATTCGAGATACCTCCTGTCTTGTTATTTTTAACAAAAACTGTTGTGTCATACAGGACTGTGTCACGAAGATGGAGATTGGACGGGGTGATGCACACAATGGAATTTTCCTGTTTCGTCCATGTTCTACAGCACTTGCTACCCAAGTGGATCCTTCTCTCCTTCATAAACGCTTGGGGCATCCATCTGTTCAAGTTTTGTCGTCTCTTATTCCTTCTTCCAGTAGCTCTAAACTTAAATTATTACAATCATGTGACATATGTTTTCAATCCAAACAAGTTCGTAGCTCTTTTCCTATTAGTTCCAATAAAGCTACTAGCGTTTTTGATCTAATTCATTGTGATTTATGGGGCCCCTACCCCCCTTGTTTAGCTACTGGTGCACATTATTTTCTCACCATTGTGGATGACCACTCTCGTGCAGTTTGGGCCTATTTGATCATTGATAAATCTGAAGTACCTAGTTGTTTGAAACAATTTTTTTCCATGATATAGACCCAATTTCATAAAACCATAAAAAATGTTCGTTCTGATAATGTAACACCCTAATCCGTCCAGGTCTGCAGCCCCATTCGGACTAAAGTATTTAACTTGGTAATCGTAAAATTTAAAACTTTTCAAACACACTTTATTAATCTCAACAATATTTTTCATAACATATACAGTACGGAGTATTTAACAATATTGCGGAAGCGAATTTGATATTGACATATCATAAATCATTTCAAAACTTATCACATCCATCCCGACAATCTCGCCCCATCTGCCGCCAGGATCACATTAATCTTTCTGTTTACCTGCGTGTAGCGAATAAAACATACTACACGCTCAGCGTTGAAGCTGAGTAAGCATATCTAATGCATCGAACATCCATATAAATTGAATCTCAATTCATAATTAACCATTTGATATCATGCACACAATACATATTTCAAGCATACACTATTCATGATATTCACAATATTTTATTTTAAGTCATTTCATGATATATTCAATATTAAATATTTCATCAGT